CTACTACTTCTTCTTCTTCTACTACTTCTTCTTCTTCTACTACTTCTTCTTCTTCTACTACTTCTTCTACTTCTACTACTTCTTCTACTTCTACTACTTCTACTTCTACTACTTCTTCTTCTTCTTCTACTACTACTTCTTCTTCTTCTACTTCTTCTTCTTCTTCTACTACTTCTACTACTTTTTCTTCTACTACTACTTCTTCTTCTACTACTTCTTCTTCTTCTACTTCTTCTTCTTCTTCTTCTACTTCTTCTTCTTCTACTTCCCTGTTTAAATATGCCCAATCCGTTTGTCACGTATTTACCCAAATTTTTGTATACATGCGTTTGCACATGCCAAAATGGACATGGGCGTACTTTAAATTCACATGCTCTTAAGTATACATACACATGGATACATAGTACACTTGCGGGGTGACCAAACATTTTATGAAATATCAAATGAGAAAACATTTATTTATTATCAAATGAGAAAAGATTATGAACTGGACCGTTTTGTTTATAGGTCATCCTGTTGTCCGCAAGCCGAAATGCCCCGTTTTCAGAACTACTCTACAACCATTTCTAAGGTTGCGCAAAATAATATATACGACGGTTGCTGAGCATCAACTGTTTATTAAGCCGAAAAATGCACGAAAGGATTACTGGGGGTGTTGAGAAGGAAAACCATTGTTTGGAATTGTTGGAGGTCTTTTTGAATATATTTAATGTCTACTGGTACTAATGCATCTGTACAAGGGTTCTTTTGTCTTATGGAAACGTTGTCTGACTTGGAGAACAGTTGCCGTGTTTATAGCTGCTGCATAATACTGCAGATATATCAAAGTGTCATAAATATTTTTCTTTCAATTTTTAAATTAATTTATAATGGATTAACTTAATGCTTAGATTTTATACTTAAAAACAGTTGATAATTATCAATGAAATTTTAAGAAATAATGTTAAAACTTTAATTCTCATTTCAAGTCAGCATCAAATAGGGCCTAATTAAGCAAGTTTGTTCTGTATAAAAATCCATGCCCACATAAATTATTAATTTTTACTTGTTTACTCATTTTCTTTTTCATATTTATAAATGAAAAGTATAACGAAATGTCTATTTGCTGTAGTATAGATAATTCCCTTAGTATTAGTAGACGTCCTGGTTGAAGCAAAAATACTGTATATTTATTTATTTGTGCTAAATAGCCAGATAAGTCCAATAAAGGAGTTTTTGTATGTACACATTGTACGATTTATTAAAATTCTCATTTTATTTATTATGAAATCCGTCAAATCTATGTCTACATGACATAAAATGATGTACATACATGTGAGGTGTAATGAGAAACTAATGAATGTAAATTAGAGCAATATTTCTTAATACTTAAAAAATAAATTTATGGCCTTTGTCTTTTATTTGTAAAGATGTATTAGATTTTAGTATTAAATTTGGGGAAATATATTTTCATTGTCTATATCTTGTGGTGGATAAATTCATGTCTGTTCAAATTCAGTTAACTCAAGGCACCTCCCTTGACCCTTTACCAAAGCTAGCTAAAGGCTTTCTTTCTAGAGACCAAATTGTAAAGCCATCCTTGGGTCTTGAGTATACTAACACAGATAAATAACATTTAGAAAATTTTGTAATGACATACCCTGACTTCTTTACATTACTTAAGAGCATGTAATTTAAATAGTATAAGAAGCTCACACATGAGTTGTTTATAAATTATAAATAAATATGTAATATTTAACAAATGATTTTCAAATGGATAGGTAAATTGATATGATTTTTATTTAAAACATGAAATTCTATAGTATGGTACTCAATATTAATTGAATCCCTTCTGCTGACTCTCGTAAACAAATGTTCATGCTCGCATACATACTTATTTTTGCACGTGACCAAGTATCCCCATGAAAGAACAAAAATGCAGAGTGAACTCTGGGAGAACATTTTTTAATTTGAGAGTAATTTTTGAGATATTGAAGTGTTTTAGCACTCGTCATGGTAACCAAAATAGGTCGTATGTCAAATTTACCAAAGTTTTCTGGAGAAACGAAAAACGTTCTCAACCTCTCCCTGTCTTTGCTTTCACAAATGTACAATCAATAAATTTGGTTATTTAATCCATCGTCTTATGACCTCTGCAAGTGATGCAGGTGACCAGATTGATCACAATGGTGTAATGCACAAATGATCAAAATCACAATAGGTCAATTGACATATGACCTATTGCAGTTACAACAGTGATATGCTATTTAGTATAATTAATTTGAAGATATACTGATTTCATGCTAAAAGGAAGTTTGTAATGTGTTGCAGTTCCATTAGAGGGTTATCCTCCTTTAGCTTTTGTGAATTATTAATGAATTATGATTTATTTGTGTAGGAAATAAATCTGGAACAGAACAAGCAATGATGCCTCCCCCAGATCCTGGAGCAAAAGGTGATTCTGTTGTACTTCCCAGAGCATCTATATTATCTGCAGATGCTAAGGAATTTGTTCCTAAATGTTACAATGCAGAGCAGTTTGAAGAAGTGAGAACAATTTTCATTACAATAATGTAGAATAAATCCTCAAATGTAAGTCATTCTTTTCAGCACCGTGTCATCACTTTAGAAATCAGAAAGGAATTAAATGCACGTATTAGGGAGAGGATGTGACTTAATGAAGGAGGAATTTAAATTAAAAAACACACTTATTTGACTATCAATTTTTCTTGGATCATGAGAAATATATTATTCATGTAAATTGCAAGAAAAATGAAAACATGTCAATATTCCATTTTAATGATTTGAAGTATCGGTTACTTAGTTTTACATTAAAGTGATGAAAATAGGGGTGTAATTGATGTTTATCA